AAATGACTTTCATTGTGTCACTTGCAATGAAAAGTCTGCCTATGGTGTTCAGCCATGTTACAGTGAAATACTGTAGATCAGATTACAAAACATCTAGGCACTTCACTGTACTTAAGCCAAGCCAGTTGAATTGCTTCCAGGGTTTTTCCTTTCCAGTCCTCCTTTATTCCTGACATACCCATTAGTTGTTTTATTTCCCAACTATTTCACATCCTCAAGTGGAAGGAAACCTCAACATTTCTTTAGTGCAGTGCCACACCTATTTTCATTGTCATCACCTCCACACCTCTCCAGCAGTGATGCCCTGGCTGGCTAATCATGATAACTTCCTGAAAAATCTCTCAAGTGCAGCTGCACACCAGGAAACCCAGACAAATGTACATGCAACAGCTGAGTAAGTTTGTATAAAAGGCTTGGGTTTCAAACAGGATTAATTTTTCAACTACTTTTTCTGCTTTAGTATGGATAGTCTTGATGATGAACATTTGCTTCCTAGGTGGCCTATTTCAAGGGAACAAACAGAATAAAAACAAACGAAAAGCACACTAATCTCCATAAAAGCTTGACATCAAAATCTAAGTACAAAAATTATTTGCTAGAGTCATGTGTGTTCTCAAATGCATATGCAGTTTGTGTAAGATTGGAATATAATGTGTGTTTAAGATACGTGCAGTCAATCAAATAACTTATAACCTCCTGTTATTCCCCTTTGGATATACCAAACTGCTACAGATCCTATTATTGTTACCTTTATGGTCTTCCCTTTAGGATCCATGCTACACTGTTGAATCTTTGCCTTTTAATTTAGGATAGTTGTTTTTTTAAAAAAAATATGCTAGCAACTGTTATTCTTTCTTATTGTTTCAGCATTTATACCCCAGGGCTGCTAGTTCTCTTCACCAAGCTAAAATAGGACTCAGCTAAATCTGAAACAGGACTTTCCAAGCAGACTTCTTGTTTTCTACAGATCAGGAATTTTTCAGGGCATTTTATACAAGCTGGGTTTCCTTTCTCTCTATTCCACATTTTCTCTCCATTTTCAAAACTTTCATTTACAGACTTTGTTTCTTGGAACTCCATTACAGGTTGCAACTGAGAAAAAAAAATGCCTTAAAAATAGCCAAAGAGGGTATGTGTGTGAGGGAGGGAGGATTTTGTCGAGTCTGAAACGTTGATGAATTATTCTTTTCATGCATGTGTTTTTGTAGCATAGTATCAAGGATCTTGTAATCTTAAAATTGTATAAAACTATCCTTTTGTATTGTATAAATGTGGTTTTCTGAGATTGCAGAGGTTTATTCTGAAAGGGTTAAAGTCCTATAATTATGTAACATTTTGCATGAATATTGACTTAAAGGTTGATTGCTGAATGCAATTAAAGCAGTATACAATCAAAGTAAAACACACATGAAAATAAATGGTAAATGGCACAACACTGAGCAGAGAGTAAGACAAGGGTGTATGATGCTCCTTTGGTTCTTTACAGAGAAATGTATAAGACATGCTTGTATTACATTACAATACAGGTGTGTTGGTTGGGTTGTGACTGGGTTTACAGTTTTGTAAGCAGATGATGCTATGTTTGAGGCTGAGAATCCAAATGATTTGCAATGAATGTTAAATGGTATGATGTGTGATTAAATACAAACGTGAGTGACTTAAATAAAAAAATACACTGAAGTGGTTTGGTTACACATGAATGGGATAAAATTGCAAAACAAATATATGAATAAGAGTGAATGGCTTAGGGAAAGTTGATGAGTTCCTTGAAAACTGCATTGGGTACCAGTTTGCTTCCGGGTCCAATTCAAG